TATCCAGAACTCTAATTGGTGCATGCATGTAGTGTGGGAAATGTTCGTCACAATCATGGCGGAGAAAGATTCAATATCCTTTCCCCATACATAATACTTGCAATCTGGTTTGTGCTCTGAGATGGAGAGAGAGATCACATGCAGAATTACATGCTCACTATATTCAACATGTAATTTAACCTTTAGTTGCTATACTATACCAGCTCTCAACTGGGCATACCTTTATAGATGGACCAGGGACTTGTCTAAAATAACCTAGAAGTGCGAGTTATGAATATGCATAGATGTCTGAATGTAAGCATGGGGAGGGGGAGCATGGGACTTCATGAGTGCTGTGAAGGAACCTGTGCTCTCGCTTTCTTTTTCAACAGTGGCTGGCAGAAATAAAGGCTTCCATATAATGCTTTCAAGTAAGCCCGGCTGCCCCAAAGCCAGGCTCACGTCCAAAAGAAATGAGCTCTGTAATTAACTTGGCAATCTGCTCTGCTGAAAATCATGTTGGTAAGTCATAGCCAAACAAGACAAACACTTTAATTCACATAAGCCAGGAAAAAAGGCAGAGGAAATAGTCTTAAAATACCTGTTGTCTTTGTCACAGCTGGTGAGAATGTATTGCAGGAACAGAACCCATCAATAGCAAACAAAGGAAGGACAGTCAGTTCTCACTCAATGATTGCTTTTTGCATACCACTGCATCTAACCCTTTGTGCCCCCATCCCCTGCCCCATGATTAGTAGTGCATGAGTCTACAAAGGTCCCTTTTAGGCATAGCTCCAGGTTGTGCCACACATTGTGCAGGAGCCACACATTTGATGTGCAAATTCTGGGTGGATAGGTGTGACTAATAAAATCACATTGGTGTAGCAGATCTTACAAGTTTTTGCCATCTACTGCTGTCAATGCAGTAGCATCCCTTGGACGTATGTTGAGGGATGATAACGGTATTCAGACATTCTTCATGCCCAGCCTGGGGCGGTGTGGCCATGCTGCAAACTTTGCCCCAAGCACTGACCATGCCCCTTAGACACAGGAAAAGATTACATTTGCACAGACACTCACAGATGGACTTCCAAATGGCTGGAACCCACATGAAGAAGGTACATGTAACATCTGCGCTAATGTGGAGATGTCCACGGAAGATGGCAGGTACTATGCAGAATGTCAGCGGCAGGGCCAGCAGTTTGATCTCACTGCCCCCCTCTGACATCATCCTGCTTTACAGGATCATTCTACAGCTAGGTAATGCACATGAAGCACATAAACATTAGGTACAGCAGGACACCCATATCCAAGGGAATAGGTTCCAAGTTCCCAGAGGATGCCTCAAACTGTGGAGAGTAGGGAACATGTGTGGGGGTTAGGGGTGCAGGACCCCCACACGTGGAAAAACTGCAACTATCTCTAGGGAAGAAACTGTGAATACTTCTAGGGAAAATTGTAAGTATCTCTAGGGAAAGATGTCTCCAGAGTCTTTGTGCCTGCTGAGAGACAAAATATGTGAATCAGAGCATGGAGGCCCCATAGTTCGCAAGGATATTTGTGGTTTTTCCCTAGAAATATTCACAGGTTTTCTCTAGAGATAATCACAGTTTTTCCATTTTTGGAAAATGGAAAAACTTGCACCCCTAATCCCAAGAATGTGGAGGCCTGACAGTCAACTGCAGTTAGGTGAAACTGTGGTAACTGAGACAGTGAATATGGAGGTTCTGCTGCATTTTCCTCCCAGCAAAGCTACAATTTAGGTTAAAAATTTGAAACTGGTTGAAGGTCAACCACTGAGCTTCATAGATAAGTGGAGACTTGAATGTGAGTCTCCCTGGTCCTGGTCTAATCCTGGGTAGGCAACCTTTTGGACCTAAGGGCAAATTTGATAAACTTTTATTGGTATAACCATAAAATGGTTACCATGGATGAGCATTGTTAGTCACAAGGGTCAAAAACCTTGCCCTAAGGTATTAATGGGAAATTAAAATACCAGGAGTTAGAGGCTTCTACTTGGCTTTGACACAATCCCAACAGCAATTAAACACATACAATTTTAAAATAAAAATTGGGAAGCAGCACCTGTTTCAGTGGGCACCACAGTAGTGTCTGGGTACACATTGTTGCCAGGTTGTCTACCCTTGCCCTAATCACTACACCAAAGTGAATCTTGCCTCTGTGTGTGTGTGTGTGACTGAGAGAGAGAGAGAGAGAGAGAGAGAGAGAGAGAGAGAGAGAGAGAGAGCGCGAGCGCATGAACAAGCAAGCAAGCAAGCAAGCACTTTTCTTTTTCTTAGACTTTTTGAATGGATCTACATACCTGGTTCTGGATTGAAGGCTAATTGTCCTCTTTTCCTTTCTTTATATGGATTGTCCATTTCACCGATACTGCTATGCAGATCAATTCCATCTTCTGACATCTTAACTTTTTGGCCCATGAACTGACCTTACATCGTGGACAGAGGGGCCATGCCAGCTGCAAGGTAAGTGCTCCCTTCCCTTGGGTATTTTTCTTCTTAAGGATCCAGAATCTTTTGCATCATTCTGGGATATTACTCTCTGAACTATGCTACAGGATCTAGTCTGCTTCCTCTTTGGGAACGCTTCACATATATTTTGTTTTATAAATGTACATACTGTACCTCAGGCAATACAATTATATTGTACTAACAGGAAGAAACCTGAGAGAACCATTCATTTGCTGTACGTTGATTCACTGCCATTAATTCCTAGGCATCGACCAAGAAGAAAAATAGAGGAATTCTAAATCTGATCACTTTTTACATTACAAGCAAGAGAGTTTAATGTATTTCTTGGGAGCAAGGCCTTCAGCAAATGGGCTGCCACAACTCTGAATTAATTTCAAAGGAAGCACAGACTATAGAGCACAGCAGCAATCTATCCTGAGCGTGATAGTGTCATGCAATCCAGTGTGAAGATTTTGGTCATAGCCCAACCTTATCTTAACAAGTATAATCACTCTCATTTGGAGGAAGGAGTTTTCCAACTACCTGCATTACATAAAATTTGCTGTGGTTCTACTGCCGGAGATGAGTCCTACCTTGGATACCATTCCATGCAGCAATTTGTAGCTTTCTAACTGTATCATTTCAAGCAAGTTTTCTCATCAAAGAGATGAGGTCCCTGTCCTGCTCCCAGCGGGGAAGCTCATCTGACTATCAGAGTATGCGTGAGATACACTGTCAATTTTGTTGATTGAAAAATAAAGGACTTGAATTCAGGTTTTTCTCTCCTTGCTGTGTACATATGTTAGTGATATACATTGTTGTTGCAAACTGAACATTTATTTATTTATTTATTTATTTATTTATTTATTTATTATTTATTAAAACATTTTTATGCCGCCCCATTCGCCGAAGCCTCGGGGCGGCTTACAACATTTATTATTATTATTACTATTTATTAAAACTTTTATATGCCATCTCATATGCGTGGCATCTCAGGATAGCTCATAATAAAGTCAAATAGCTTAAAAACAATCTAACAATAAATAACATACAACCAGTTGCACTGCATTGCACTGCATTTGGACATATGTTCAAACCCCTATATCATAATTTTCTTTCTTTCCACTATTTGTTAGAATATCAAAGTCTCTTCTTAGTTATTTGGCACAACTTGTAGCAGATGCCATGTGGGTTTCATTTTTTCAGTCTCCTTTCAGAATCTCTTAAGTAGGAAAGGATTATGCTACCACTTGTGAACATTCTAGAGTGGAAGATCAATTTTAAGGACACACGGCCCCTTGTGATGGATACATATTTTTAATTTGAGGATCTATAGGTTACATAGGAAGCTGTTTTAGATCAGGTCAGCCTATATGTTCATCCCAGTATTGTCTGCTATGAATGGCATACCTTTCCAAATTCTTCAAGAAAAAGCTCCCTATTGCCTACTCTCTAAATCTTGAACTTGACATCAACTGCATGCAGTACATGTGCTCTACTTCTGAGACATCCTTACCTAAGGAGTTGCACCTAATAAGGTAGGCCATGTCCTGGGTCTGCAGGCTTTAGAGGAGGTGGTTAAGGGTCTGGTAAGTGAAAGGATGACACTTTGGGGGTAAAGAACATCTTGCTCATGGTGTCTTCAAACCCAGCACTTATCCCCAGGTACAAAGCACACCTGACTTATCCATGGAAATAACTACTTGCAAAAACAGTTTACTCATGGGAGAGCAGAAGGAAGTTGAAATGGAAGATCTCATGGCTTCATTCATGATAAGACTGTTTGCACAGCTCAACCAATTACTTGAACTCTTCCATCAGCACATAAGTTTACTGTGGTGATGTCTATGGCAGCAGCCAGTAACACTCTGAGAAGCTAGGCTTTCTGAATGCAAGATGTTTCACTTTGAGCAACCCTGGTTTAAAAGGGGCAGTGGTGTATGTGGGGAGATAACCAGCAGAAGACATTACCAGAGTACTCCAAGTCCTGTTAATGGTTTCAAGTATCTGACAGTTCACAGGATGTGCTACTAGAAACTAATGCAAAGTATATTCTCTGGCCGACATTCACAATGTTTACATAGCAGGAAGTGAATCTCACTATGTTTAATAGGACTCACTATGCCTAGGACTGCAGCCTTAATGTACGCTGTTTACATCAAATGGCATATCTGAACATGAAATATGTATTTAGGACACCAAACACGGGAACGTAAGTTCTTTTTGCAAGTGTTTCCCCCCATATTTTAGGGTGCCCAGCAGGTGTTTTTTTTTTCAAAGTAACTGTATATTAGCAGACTCATACTTTGAAGGCATTAATTTCAGCAATATAGCAACCTGACATGAACTAAAATTAGAAAGAGATCTGGCAACCTTGTAAGCATTCTGGGTTATTTTGCTTCTGTGGTTCTGGGCAGAAATATAATTATGCAACAATTCTAAGTTTCTTTAGCTGATGCAAAAACAAACAAACAAACAAAACCCAGCACCACCAACACAACAAAAAACTGTTGAAATTTTCAGATGTGTTTCAGTAATATCTAGAGTTCAACTTTGACACTACCACAAGCAGTATTTTTATTGTCTGTTTATTGTAGGTGATGTTGCAGTTTCTGATGTATTACATATTTATTGCTTTTCTTCCACAAAAACTGACATGGACAATATTGATTAACTGCTTTTAGATGCCTGGATACAGGGTCAGTAAAAATTATGTATCAATACATCAATTGACAAAAGCATACCACATTTATAGAGATGTTTATAATGCCTCATGTTTTAAGGGCTGTTAAACAATTACTGATTTGCTCTACTTTTAAATATGGAAACAGTAACCTATTTGGGTCTTGTTAAACAAGCTGGCCATTGAAAAATAGGTAGATTGTGAATTAAAATAACAACATATTATTTCTCAGGCGATAGTATGAACTTAATACAGCAGAAGTGCCATTTACAAATAACTGAATTTGCTAGAGACAGTATAAAAAGTTTTGTTGTGTTTTCATGGAAGCCCCCCTCCCCTCCCCTGGCTTGGTTTAGGAAACAATTCCTAAGACATCTTCCCATCTATACCTCTCTGGTACTATGAATACTGACACAAGTACTTTGATGTTTTACAAAGTGAGACAAAGATGGTTATTTCAAATAACTATCAAGCAGAATTTCCTTTGCAGACATTTTCTCTGATGAATATCTGATTATGAAAACTGATCATGAAGAAAAATAGCTTGGTGTCCTATAAAAAAAATCCAAGATATTTCTGCAACTTTGTAATTGTTTCTTTAAATCCATAAGGCAGAATTCATTCCCCGTTTTATGGAGAAGTACTAAGTATTATAGAACATAGCTTATATAATGAATAATATTTATTTTACACAACCAGGTTGCTTGAAATAGTTTTCCTTCATGGTCCATTCATAGGTAACAGAAATTTTGTAGTCAAGTAGGATGTGTATGGTGACTATGACATGCTTTAACACAAGCTAAGATAAGAGAGTATAGAATTTATCAGCTAACTTCATTCGGGAAGAGGTTTGGGACTGATGTGATGCTTGTGATGCTATACTATTCTTCCTATAGTGCAAGCCTCATAAGACACAATATTCAAAGTACTTTTAAGCAGGTAGAATCTCATTTCTTTTCTATCTGGTACCTTTGACTCTCAGCACTGTAGGCCAGTCTTTCCCAACCTGATATTCCACTCTTTTGGGCTTCAGCTTCCAGCAGCTGGGACCACTATGACCTGAAGTGAGGAATGCTGGAAAGAAAGCTGGCAGTCCAAAAGTGTGTCGGGCCCCATTTTTGGGGCAGCTGCTGTAGACGCTATAGCATTTTGTTTTATGCAGTTAATATTTTACTTGTTACAATATATAAAAATGCTCTGGCACAAATGAATTCACCATTGCCATAAAGCTTGAGTAGTGGTAAATTAATGAGATTCAAGTCTTACTGCCAATGTTTTTGTAAATGGCATCTTTCCAGCCTTATGATTCTCCTGGAACTTTTTCTTGGAAACATACATTAAGTCTAACAAACCTCCCACCCAGAATCCTACTGGTTTAACATAAGAAAAGCACAAAAACCTTTAGAACTTGGAATCTAGTGTCAAAGAAGTACATAGGGCTGCCTTTTCTGGCAAACTGTCATTGTGATCTATAATTATTTCTTATACAAAATGTAGTTTAATGAGAAAAATGCATTTAGTACCAAATTATACATGGAACTGGAACAAATTGTTGAAAACAGAACATGATTTTTTCTTCTTCTTTTCTTTCCCTTTTTAATTAGACCACAGTATTCTTGATAATACATCAAGGATACCAGATATCCTGAAATCAAATTCTGGAACACTGAGTTTTTCTTATTTCTGCTTTTATATATGCTTTCTTTGAATAAACATAATTAGAAAACTCTGTGTCTAGAAATAAATAATAAGTACACATTTGAATCTTGCAGTATTAACATTATCTTCATATAGAAATGTTTTCAAAGAATAGAAGCTGGATACTACTACGATCAAACTATTGTTTGCCTTTTACATTAATGACCGTTGTTGTAGGCTGCAAGTCCTTAGTTCTGGAGATCCATATTCTGAAGCACTATGGCCACTCTGCTTGGAATGTACACCTAAAAGGAGGATAACATTATCTTATGAACTGTTCATAATAAGCCTTTGGGATGGGGCAAGCTATAAATCTAAATAAGTAAAGAAATCTACTTACCATTTGAGCATGAAATATGCATTTAGGAACCGGCATTTATGAAGTGTGCAATCAATATTAATTAAATGTAGAGTGCAATTGTAGGCTTGGCTATTTTGTCCTGAGGCCCACAAGGTAATCGAAATGATGCATTTCCTTTGCCTTTGCCACATCCTAAAGCTAAATCTGGTGAAAGGTTTAAATGCAATTACCACTAGAGGGCTCCAAGTGATTTACAATCACCAATTTTAGACATTTGAGGACATCGAGGTCGATACGAGGCACAGTGATAAATGACAAACTCTTACTGCTGCATTTGAGCTCTATTGTGTTCTGAATTAAAGCTGCCCTGGCTCTGTGATGTCATTTTACACAGGTAAATACTAGGTATGAGACAGCACAGCATTTGAAAATTGACAGGTCCATAGCGGTGAAATGGGGTTTAGAGCATCACATCTTGAACAGAACAATGCATTCATTTGCCTTTGCAGATTGTGATTAAGTTCTTTCACTTACATTCTCTCACACAAACTTTTAATCTGAATGAATTCCAGATTTTGTTTTGTTCTTCAAAAGTATTTTTCTTAACAAGGGGGAAAGGAATCCGTGACAACATTCTACACAATGCTCTTTCCAAGCACAGATTAGGCTCACAATTCAAAACATGACAGATATGTTCTGTTTACCAATTACCTTGATATGTGGTAGTTTACGGACTGCTGAATGCAATTGATCATGTAAACTGAACTCAATAACAATGCAATTAGAAAAGAGTCAGCAGATGAGTGAAGACTGCAAGCTTCCTTTTGACAACACCAGTGTTTTAAGACTCTCTTCCTCCTCCCTCCTGGCATTCCTAATATAATGCTATTTTCAGCCATGTTATCTCCAAGCGAGAGCCTGACTGACGGCATGAAAAGCTTTTATAGTCAGCAACCGGAATGAAAGGTGTAAAGCAAACAGCTTTAGGAAAAAAGGAAAAGAACAGCTGATCTTCATCGAACCAGACTGTAGCATGTCCAATGCATCTCAGCTCTTGCCAGTGAACAGAGTGTTTTCCCCCTAAGGTTTCTGTGATAAATAACTCCTACAAATCTGCTCAGTGGGGAAGGAAATACAACATACACTTGGGCTAGAGTCATGTGCCTCCAAATTTATTAGTAAAGAAAAAAAGGATAGTTGTTGGGGGGTATACTTATTTATTACTGTGCAAGTAACTGAAAAAGATTTATTTCCAAATCTTTTTAGAGAAACAAGTCACACTGGTCTAAGCAGTTAGCAGATTGGAACAAAGAAATTAGCACACTGCAGAAAAGCTGCCATATTCAGAACTCTCTTTCCAGGCATGCCAAATATGAACGTGTTCTATGGATGGAAACCAGATGCTTTAAAGTGATGCTGTAAAACAGAAATGGAGAAACTCTTGTCCCTCACGTGTTGCTAGATTCCAACTAGAATCCATTAGTCTGAGCTAGTACGAGTATGTCCAGTCCTCAGGGATAAAAGCAGCTTTAGTTCTACTACGTTTGAAAGGCCATAGGTTTCCCAACTCTACTTTAAAGAAAAAATGATTAACCTGACCCATCTGTATTCATAATTGCATAACATCAAACTTTCTACATAGGGATGACTGCCAATATTAAACAAACTTGAAGTATATATAGCCCATCATTATACCATACATACAACTTTAAAAAAGGAGACAAACAACACCTTGATATAAATTAGAGTATAACCCCATATCTGCTGTCTCACTTAATTGTGGTTGACTGCAGTCTGAAAACAAGACCTGACACACTGCAGCATGGCCTGCTCTGGGGAAGCTTGTTCTGCATTGTGTCACAAGGCTAGCTCATGGCCACATACCCAGTCCCATATCTGATGCCCACCCTGCCTTCCATGGGGGGTGGCATATCATTCCAGACTGGCTGCAGCAGCAGCAGCCAGGAAGTGGAGCAAAAAAATTCCCATTTAATTATTGATGGCAAATTTGCACACAATCAAATCTACATAAGTTAAACCTGCAAAAGTCAAGGTTCAACTGCACATAGTGTTCACAACTATTCATGGTTTCAGGCATCTGCTGTGGCTTATGGAGATATGGGATCCTTCTATACATCAACATGTGAAAGTTGATGCAAATCCTGCCACCGTCTGTAAATTCTAACTAAACTAAACTCAAAGACTTGGGGGATGATGCTATGCTTCTCAGAAAGTGCCTCAGGGGCGACAGGAGTCTTTGGATGCTCAGATCACAGGTGGAGAAGGTGCTCTGACTCCAAAGCTGAGGGAATACACATGAATTATACTTCTGCATGGACAACACTTGTCACATGGTTGCTTCTCATGTGTGCTCTAAGGACAAACCTTATCCATGCACGACATATGGTGTTTAAAAGTTCCCATACATCCAGACCTGTATCTTAATATGACCAGGGAGAATACAGAAAGCAAGAAAGTGGGACCCTGGGTAGGCAGGAATGGTAAAGGAATCAGATGCATCTTTGAATTAAAACAATGCAAATTATATCAGCTGTGGTATCTGATACTTTTCAGGGACACAGCCACACAGGATAAAGGGAATTAAACTTGTTTGTTCCCAGATGAGATCCTGAAAAAAACAGTTCAATTGAAGCTACAATCTGTATTGGAAAGAAGTCCCCAATTGGCAATAAACAGCAAACAGTGGCTTTGGAAGAACCATTTTTATTAGAACTGCAACAGGAGATGAAAAGATTAGATTTCCTTTTTCTATTGCTGTGATTTTGATAATTACCATCCCTGAATGAATGCTATTTGAACTTAAAAAATAATACTCTGAGTGGGTTCACACATAATGGCAAGTCCTATTGATAAATCACCATGATGGGTTGCAGTTAAGCACCAAACAACCGTGATGAGGCCAGCAGGTGATCTGGCTCACCAGACCTCCGGAGCCAGAGGTGGGGGTCCTGATAAACTCCGAGGTGTCCTGCAGAGGGCTGCCCTGACAATCAGAATTCTAGCTCCCACCTCTGCTGCCTGAGAGATCTACTCAGGAGAGCAGGAGTCAGATGGGGATAGGGGTATCTGATTGGCTTGGTGGTGCTACCCTGCGAATAGGGCAGTGTCAGCTGATCGCTGGCACCCACATCTTGCCTGAGAGTAGGCACCTTGGTTTAGGAGGTGGGACTCCTCTGACATCTGGGCCACATTGCTGCTTGGACATGCACTTTGGACATGCTGTCAGTTGTGGTCACTGGCTACCACTTGGCAGTTGGCTCACTTGTGCCATGACTTGAGCCATGATGGTTGTGTTGTCCAAGCCTGGATGATACAGTAAGCAATCACAGGATGATCAGATCATTGTGTCTTATCATGGTTGACAATCTTAATATGCCACAATCATTTGTCACCACAATTGAGCTTATATGACACCACAAACAACTATAACAACCAATGGCTGTTTATACTGTCAGGCAAACTCAGCCTTTAAGTTCCATGCAAAGACAATTTACCTCCATGTGTGGCTTGGCCCTCGGAAGTATTACAGTCAGTCAATTATAAGGGGTGAAAAGAAATTAACCAAATTTTAAACTCCTGCTTAGAAATGTGGAATCCATTTGAAGAAGTAACTTCTATACAAATCAGTCAGTGATGCTGTTTACAGTGTACCCACTATGAAGGGCTGTCAATAGAGTGGAGGCGATGACATTGTCCAGTATTGAACTGTTAACTTCTTTTTAAATGGCTGTTTTCTGTAGCATGAGTCTTGCTACAAAATATAATTAACTGCCATGTGTCACTTGCCATTTCCTTATCTAATATGATCTCCCTTACCAATCACATTGCTATTTGTTGGTATTTCATTCATATGTTCTGGAATCTTTGAACTCACTGCTTCTAGTTGCTGGCTTGATTCATAGATGGTTCATTCATGAAAGGGAAGGAATCAGTCAACGAGAATCTAAATTCTGTACAAACTAGTGTTCCAAACAAAGTCAACTGAGGTTCCTCATTATCCTCATTATCTAAGGAGGACTGCTTGCTCAGTAAAATTAATCCTCGTGGGATCCAGAAGAAATCAGAAATGCTTTGAACACATTGTGTGCTTGCTAGCAATTCTGTTGAGGTTTTACAGGGACTCAGTCAACCGTAAGAGCTAATAGCAGACTTCCTCATAGCAAGTCTTTTGCCACCTGCATTCTAGACACTTCTCTGCCTGATTCATTGCGTCAGCTGTCAGGGAGCCAATTGGATGTGTACTGTGGAAGAGGGGCTGCTGCCCACATTTTCTCAGCAGTGAGATTAGACCAGCTTTTTGAACTTCCCAAAAAATCCAGTCTGAATAGCCAATAACTAGATGTTTCCCAGAACAGCCCATGTAAGGAGAAAGACAATGATAACACTCAATCATCCATTAGATTTTGATAGCCTCTGACAGAAGCCCATTGTAGCAAATCCATTACACTAATCATTAGGAAGTAGTCCGGGTAGGATAAACTAGTGAACTCCTCCTTCCTACAAGGCCACCAACTTGTTAGGTTTAAAACATCAGATCTGAAGTTTGCTGCTATCTTCCTAATGGAAGGTAAATTCCATCGAATATTTAACAGTATGGTTTACATAATTACATTTGCCAGCATTTGTTTTGGAAACAATCAAGGTGAATTTTAATATGACTGAATGTCCACATAAATTTATGATGTACAATTGGAACACAGACATTTGTAGACAAATGGGAGATATTCCTGCATAACAGCTGATCAAATGACAGCTTATTGAAAATATATCACAACTCCACTCTTACTGAGTAGAAACAAACACAATTCATGCTTGCCATAAACCATGGATTAGATGGCTATATAAAATGGTAATATGAGCTTCCTAACCTTTCTGAAAGAGGTGTGTGTGTGTGTGTGTGTGTGTGTGTGTGTGTGTGTGTTTCATTCTTCAAAGCCTCTAAAGTGACAGCTTCCCCTCTAGGGCTTCAGACCAATATACGTTTACTAAAGGATTAAGTCCCATTGACCTTACTGGGTCTTGCTGCTGAATACACACATCAGGAACTGTACTCTAAATTCGTTTAGCTTCAGCAGGAGTACTGTATCATGTGAATTTTCTCTGGCCAAAGTGCTTAAACTCAGATGGCTGAAGCTAGAAATTAATAGTATTCCAGCCATGACCTCTTGCCCCTTCTGTTCTGTCTTCTAATGTACAGATCAGCTTTCTCAATACTTACTAACTTGCTGTTACTTATGAAGCTCCTAACATTGAGATAAATTTGGTCCAATGACTCACTTCTTCAGCTGAAAGAAAACTCCTCCCATCAGAGGAAGGAGGAGTCCTCTAAATCCAACCCAGATTCTACAACAGTCTGCACAAATTTGAAAAACAAAAAACAAGCCCTTGCCTATAGTCTGCATTCCATCAAAACCTGACATTTTGCCTGTAGCACATCTCTGTAAAACATATTCTCTAATATCGTAAGAGAGTTCCTGGAATGAACATGGTACCCAAAATGAGTACAGGGTCCACAGAATATCTTAGCACAACAAAATACACTGGCAGCATGCAATAAACTCGCCACAACACTTTTATCCATTAATGGAAGTGGATGAAAATCAACGTTCTCTTGAATTAAGAAATCAGAACACGATAACAACCATATATAAAAGTCATTTTATATAATTAAAACAGTTAGAAAAAGGGTACTATTTGGTGATAAGTAGTGAAATAATGATGAGTGATCTTGAAAGGGAAAAGCCAGGAAGGAAGCAAAGCTATGAAGGGAAACATTATTTAGATTAGTGATGAATGTCTAAAATATGAAAATGGTTCTAGCTAGCCCTGTTGGATTTTAAATTTGACAACAGCTTTAAAGTCTATTCCTATATAATACAATACATATGATACCACATGCCATTATCATAACTACAGTAAGCAACTTCTTGGAGTAATGGACCTTAACTCTTTATCACTCTCATTTCCTCACATGATATTTCACAGTACACCCTCTTCCCTTTTTCCTCCTTTTTCTTTTCTCTCACATGGACAGAAGTCATTTTGTTCAGTGTATACCCTATCTGGATCACACGCTTACACACTTGTGGGTCTTTTTCCTGTTTGCTGATTCTGCATAGAAATACACAAGTGCTTCTAACAGATGGGCCTTAGCTAAAGCACTGAAGGTGCAAAGCAATTACATTATTTCCAACAGCACTGGATAAATTTCTGACATATTCTATCATCATCTTCCATCTGCCAGTATATCAGGAAGGGTCCTCAAATAGAGTTACATGTCCACTCACAATGTGAATTATATTGAATATAATTTACCATGCGATGCTCTACCAGGTCTCTCCTATGATCAGACATTGCCATATTTGTGATTTGCAAAGAATTCCTACTTTGCCTGGTTCCACTGGTTGTAGAACTTTGTAATCTATGGATTCCAGTGCAACATGTGTTCTGAACCTTTTATATGCATCAGGCCAGGATCAATATATTGTTCTGGTATCTTTCTGCCATACGTTTTCATCCTGCTTGTGCCACCAAATACAGTCTGGATGGCTCCATACTGTATTTGGTGGCACTATATATGGGCCAGAACTAGAAGCTAGTTCTCTTCTCTTTTATAATTCATAGAAACATCTTTTATGATTCCATGAAAAAGAAAACTTTCCATAACATGCTAGTATATTAAAATAATTTCAAGATTCCAAAATTTGCCTCCTTTGAGCAGTCTCAGAACCTCTTCATGCATTTTCCAAAAAATATTTTAGGACATTTTCCATTGTTGCTGTGCTCTCCCATCTACCATGTCTTAAAGATAAAAGCTGGAACATCCATAAAATCAGAATAAAGCTCTACTCATTCAGAGGGGTCTTTCGGGCAGAGGCATCTGCTGTGCTCTCTTTTAGCATAAAGGGTCTTTGCATTCTGCTCCCCATGCTTATCATATCACAGGCATGGAGAAAATTGCCTAGTTTAAGCAGCTCAACCTGCATTCACTCATGTACAGGAATCCATAATGTACAGAAATGTGCATCTATTTCTAAATTTCATTTGTGTAATGTACTTGCAACCCTGAAAGCGTTTTACACTTAAATTGACTCCATGCACCAGAGAACAGGATCCTTTATTATTATTATTTTAAAGTGCTAGAATTTTGGCCGGACCACTTTAGTCTGCAACTTTACCTCCAGGTGGTGTGTGTGCTGGTATCCTCGGGGCTGGCCATCACTTTCACTCAGTGAATTGGGTTGCTGGGAGATATAAAGGACAAGTGTGACCTACACTCTTGGGTTTGATAATTAAGATAATAGTGCAGTCACCATGCTGTAGCTTGTAGAGATTTCAAAACTACATTAGTTGTTTAATATTGGCTGTTTTCATGCTTTCTCTCACATGCACTTGTCAAGATCTTTATTCAGAGCTGTTCCAACTTTGGGGCATGTTTATTTTCCATGTTATATCTACAATGCTCATGTCATGTTAATAACTTATTATTAAGAGACACATGATTATTATATTAGTTGCGTGTTAATGTTCAGAGATAGCGTAGTGTAAAGAAAATGGGAAAATAGAATTCAGAATGATTGCTCTGTTTCCTGGTATTCACCTTTCTGCATGGCCAAAACAAAGCTATTTTGTCAGAGTTATTTGGCTTACACTGTGTAAAAAGTAAATACCTTCCCAAGGAATGAGAAATGTAGCAACAGAATGCATATTATGCATTTCTTCATGAAATGGCAGAACAGCTGCTCACGAAGTGTTAGTGGTTTTAAGTGGTGCAAAGCTTTGCGAACCACACTGACAGGAATTTTTGTTCATTTGTTTTTGAGCAAGATTACTTGAAAATATCCATATTTGGTGACCCATTCTGAATCTAAGCGAAGGACATTACCATTACTCACTCCAATATACACATTAAATTAAACATAAGTTGCCCCATTCACTTCAATAGGGATGTCTGTGTCGACCTTTCTTGGTTATTGCAATGAATGATTAACCTCTATTCATGCACAGTTCTGGTACGCTGAAATCCTATGGAGTGATTGATCGTACCTGGGCAGTATGAATGTGACTTAGAGTTCATAGCTGGGTTTCTGCTGCACTAAATACAAGAGTGCTAATTCTCCTGGATATTGTTGCAGGTCCAGGTCAAGCACTGAATGAAACTGGGCTCATCCGAGATTAGGATGAAGTGAAGCAGAAGCGTGATTGCTGCACTGTGTTAAATCAGCCCACACTAACAGGCCTTTCCTATCTTCCATTCATTGCAGCATAGGCTTGGTAATGCATAGATTGTAGCATGAGATAGATACATTCAAATGCCACAAATTCAGCAGTCAGAACTATGAGTAGTTCATCTCACTGATCGATGCTTAGTTTATTTCCTTTTTTGACTCCGGAATAAACATTCCTTTTTGCTCAGGCATTTTTACATTTTAAAACCATTATTTAAAAAACAAACAAACTTTATTATTTTTTCTGTGTTTCTTCAGTTCTGTGTTCTTCAGTTTACAGGCTGAAGAGTTGTTAGATTTTTTGTCTTTTAATTTGTGATTATCTTTAAAAAAAAGTGTACAAACCATATAGAGATCTATCTATACAATTTCAGAGGATTGTCCAAGTAGTAAAATCATTTTGTTTAGGAGATTCCTTTAGGGTGCAATTTTATACATGTTTTGATGAGAAGGAGAAGGAGAAGGAGAAGGAATTCTTCGACAACTTCTAGCATGCTCTGGCCAGGGTTGGGATGTTTGTGTGTGTGTGGAGGGGGGGTCATGTTGGGAGCTGTAGGACTCGCTAAACATGCCTAAGGCTGCCATTCTTAGTTACTAATGTGAAAGTTAGATGAGCATGCTTACATGCAAGAGAAGCCACGTAAGCATGCAAGCTACTGAAACATGAAAATTAAAATAAAAATCCTCCGATTGAAATTTTATGACAACAGAAAAATGCACATGGAAATGGTTTCATGCTTAGTTATTTCATAAAATTCTTATATAAAGTTCAGTAATATTTGAAGTGAAAAAGCCAAGAGATATTTAGAAATATTATTGTCTAAATATCACTTTGCTTAAGTCATATCATATTCACTGTTGACCTTTGGTTTAATCTTAGTTTTTCATGCAAATATTAATCATCATATTTTGGAGAGAAGGAAAGGGAAAGGGAAAGGGAAAGGAGGCAAAATGCTGATGTTTAACCAAAGATTTGATTTGTTAAACCATCACTGCAGAAGTAAAGTAGGAAAAAAAATACTTACCAAAACAGAATTAGGTCGATGGTTGTGTGAATATTGCTGTGAGAAGAATTCTGTATTGTGGTCCAATCTGCTATGCCCTCCATATTCTGGAGCATCAGAATCCAGTGCAATTTTATACTTAAAACAACAATTAAGGATTCTTACATCAAATACAGTCAGTATGATGTTAAATAATAAATGGAATTGAATCAAGCTAGCTACAGAAATAATTTTCCCATGTAATGTATTTCCTTGAGACCCCAACTGTATTTGCCACAGTTCTGAACATTTTTCTAAATGAAGAATGCTATCTATTTCTAGATCTACTGGTAAGTATACAATGCTTAAATAAGTGCATAAGCTTGACTATATAAGCATTACTTTAAGTAAGTCTACTTCAATACATTCTGCAAACAAGATTCAACTTGCAATCCTATCATTTTCTGAGTTAATTGGGAGGAAGCCCCTTTGAAGTCAATGGGACTGACTCTTGAGCAGACATAGAGATGATGAAATGTCCTCCCTTACCTGAGTTACGTATATAAATGGATTTACATCATGATTAACTTGGCTGATTGAGTTCAATGAGGCAAAAGCAAGATTAATCTAGTCTGGATACAATCCTAACAAATACAACTATGTACAAGATACATTAGGAAAAAGTTACTTGTCATAGTTCTTCCCAACAAACAGATCCACAGAAGAACTTTCATCAGGCAGCTTTAAGACACCCTCTTTCTCCATGGTACACTGCTATCTCTTATGTTATTTGTTCTTCACTCTCACATTACAAGTTATTCACAGTAAGTTTTATTTTCAAATTGAGCAGAAAAACTGCAATGTTTTGTGAAAATAATAAGTGGTAGAATACTAAGCTGTATGTACTTCAGCTTTGGAAATCATAAAGCATTACCACAGTCAGAAAATTCTTTTAAAAAACCCAATGTAACATTATCAGCATTTAAGGGTGTTATATTTTTTCCAGACAGTGAAACTGTTCAGAGTAAAAGCAGAAGGAAGAGCAGCAAAGTTGCGCATGCTAGCTTTGCTCTTTGCCACTCTAGTTTCCATTTCTGAAGATGAGAGCTTCCTGTAGCCACCAAGATGTTCCTCTTCAGAAAATTGCCATTCACATGCAGAATGAATGAGGAAGAAGGAAGCTAAACCAGTGTGCTTCCTGCTCATGATTTGCTTTACTGACATTCTGAATACCTGAAAAGGGCTATTAGTCAGCTTTAGAAATCAACAAATAAAAACAATTTAAAACTAACAGAGGAACTGATTTTGCTTACAAATCATAGGACCTTGCTTCAACTGACATAGGAAACCACTAAGAAAATAAAGTTGCCACCATAGTTTGAACAGTAACACGTTTGCAAAAATGTTCCAGATCCTTAATTTTGAAAGTGGGAGAGGAGTTTCAGATGGACCTCCACTAATAGGATTAGAGCACAGTAAAGCTCTGCTTTTTCTTCTGATGACTTGAAGTACAGTAAGGCTTCTGTGTTTGTTCAGCCTTTTGATCAAGTCTGAGAATGCTAACCGATTTGCTGTCATTTCCTTCTTCTGACACAACTCTCTCAACTGAACTTTGCTTTAGTGATAAGTTACAATTGCTTTTATGCATCCATCTGTCAGGAAGTCTTAAATATTTTATAATTTCTTAAAATAAAAAGTTTGGCTGATTAGAAAGCATATGTTTCCATTATAGTGTCACATAAATCCAAGTTATTCATCAGAAGACTGATTTTAAATGTATTCTTTTCTAATAGTAATGCAATCTGTTTTTAAGTTACACCATACCACACATTATGAATTTTATTTATTTATTTATTTTTCGATTTATATCCTGCCTTTTTCCTACAAAGGGCTCAAGGCAGCCTACATCTCCTCCTCCATCTTATCCCCACAACAACAACCCTGTGAGGTAGGTTGGGCTGAGAGTCTGTGGCTGGCCCAAAGTCACCCAGTTGGCTCCATGACTGGGACTAGAACTCAGGTTGCCTAATGTGCAGCCCAATGATCTTAACTACTGCACCACACTGGCTTTAAGTATTTGAAATAAACAACACAATTATTATTTATTATTTTGGAGCTATAATAGTTTACCCTGATTTGTGATAAAATGATTGTTTTTGAGCAATAAATAAACTTGATAAACAATTGACTTTTATCAAAACTTAGGATTAAAATGGGTAGGGAGCTGAGCCAAGCACCTTGGAACAGCCTACTGAATATTTGTGCTTGTCACCCTCTGTCACCTTCTGTCTCCAGCATCTCTGTATGGAGCAAGCAGGTTTGAAGGAGGATTCTGCAGATTCCTTGATTGGGCTGTGTTCCATATATGTTTGCTTCAGGCCAACACAAGAAAAATCCTACTCCAGACATCTCTGCCTGGTGTTAGGTGGCCAGAGACCTAGCTGGTGAGGGCTTGACTGCATTAGGACATGCAAGGTAGGACCAGAATGTACAGCCTGTTCTGTCTACCCAGTTTAAGTTAGGCAAATGCCTGAACAGTGATTCCAAATGGTAGCAAATCATGTGATTTCAGACTGTACATTTCTACTAATATCATTTCCACCCCACTCCTTTTTTAACAGACTATGGCAGATTGATTTAAAATTAGGCCAAGGTATACATATTTATTGAAACAAATAAATACGTCTTATGGCTTTATTTCTTATTTATTTTTATCTGTATTCTAATATATTTAGAGCTGCCCAGAGAGCCTTTGGCTATAGGGGGCATACAACTATGATAAATAAATAATACATAAATTGTCAATTCATTTATTTATTACATGTGTATCTGACTTTTTTCCTTTTAAGGAACTCAAGGCAGCTTACATAATTCTCCTCCACTCAATCTTACCCTCACACCAACAGCCTAGGAGGTAGATTGGGCTGAGAATGACTGGACCAAAAGTCTCTCCCTTAGCTCCATGGCTGGGTGAGAACTAAAATGCAGAGTGAGCCACTACACCACACTGGCTCCGCATAATATATAGAAAACGCAGGAGACCAGAAAGAGTAGATGAATGAAACAAAGGTCTTCCAAAATGGTTCTCAGCTTTAACTGATATAAAAGTTAAATGACTAAGAAGAAAAGTCTTGTTTAAATTACTGTATGCTTATTTCCATATTGAATCAATATACTATGTTAATATACAAATCAATCAATCAATCAATCCTTTGCCAATGACTTTATATCATATGGGAATGTAATGAATATAAAATCTGTTTGGGCAACTCTGTACATAGTTTGGGAGGAAATGGGTTTCTGCCACCCACCCCTGACCACTCCTTCCCCATCCACAACTTGAAGGGAATCTCTCGAGTGTCCTGCCGTAGCTCCGTAGGCTTTCCCTGTAATTTGGAATTCTGGTCATGGAGTGTTCCAAATTACATAGAGATCCAACTTGCTAGTACATGAGGACTTTTTATCCTCCACTCCAGTCTATGCAGATGACTGGGGGAGGAGCGCTGGCAGGCAGCAGGCATGTCCCACTGTTTGCACCTTCTATGTACTCACATCACATTGAGAAAAATAGCCTAAGTTTATAGTCCATATTGGTTTTGTGGTAGAAGCAGCAGCTTCTCTGTCACTCGGCAGCAACACATTTTGCAGCAACAGCATCTGTACCATGTTAATGTCCCAAATGATCTCCTGCTAAGATTTTGTTGGTGAAAGAGCAGGGAAGCTGCCATCTATTATGGGCAAGAATAGAGCATTGAAATCAATCCAGAGTTACTAGAAAGGGAGAAGATGATTTTATGCTGTTTTCTTAGAACACGACTAGCAAATCTACACTATTCACTTGTAGACACATTTCCCACTGTTTATGGTTTCAACAAGCAAACCTGCTTCATGATGCAAGCCTCCCTAGGGGATAGTCCAGCAATTTATCCAGCTCTTCCTCTATTTTCAATTTAAATGGAAGCTTCTGTCCTTCCATTTGGTGTCCATTGATGGTGTCACTGTTACAGAGGAGCTTCAGACATGCTGCCTCTCTGACACATGAACTGTGCACTATGGACTCAATTGGCATCAACCTGACACCTTAGCTAAAGAATCCATTTTTCTTCCTGAAGAGACAACTTAAAAAGCTGCCAGGAACATTATTAAGGTTCTGAAATGGCCACAGAGACAATGGCCATAGAATAGACATGCTTCTTCCTTAGTGATAAAAGGGAGTTTGTGTGCCCTCTATCCAAACTATTCTTCTATTAAAATGATATTTTTGCTCATGCTGTGCGCAGCTTGAGCTGATTGACCTCCCCACTTTATCCCAAATTCTAACGTTGGAATTTGGGCAATCATTGTTCATTTCTTCTGCTTGGATGTTATTCATGCTGATATGGCTCAGCTCTGAGAATAACCCAGCATCCAACTGATGCAGGTTCGCATATCAGAAGCAGAGACAGCATTTTGATCGAGATCCATGCTCTAATCACCTTCCCCACAGCTGCAGAAAGAGCCCTGCCAATTGCATCTCCAAGGTTGGGGAATCAACCTCACAGAGGGGGTGTTCCAGGAGGATGGGATGGTGGGGGTGGTACTATAGAAACTCAATGAAGTATTGGTGAGCTATCCTATGTCTTCCTTCAGCTTCCTTTGCTACCGCTCCAAACCAACACAGATAATGAGCTAAAAAAGGCAACTAAAGAAAGAGGTAGTAATCACCTCTGTGTTTCTCCTGCTCTTCATAGAATGCTTGTAAGCCTCCAATTCAGGGGCTTATGAACATCTGAGGGCCAACCATCACCATATGGATTAAGTTATCAAGGGCCCAAGATTGGAATATACCAAAGTTGCTGACTATGCAGATGTCTCCCATCTTCATCTTCCAACAATTGTTACATCTGTTTTTTGTTGCTCTAGTTAACATAGAGCTGTTTAGATAATATATCACATCCAAGAACACAAAATGTACTGTTACCTTTAGCTCTCATCTTGTTACATTTTGTTGTTCCCCTGATTTCAACCAGTTCAGGTATAGATAAACCACAAACTCACACCACTTTTCACTACATAATGTAGTGGACTCTTGCCTATGAAACTCATCACAGTAAGCCAGTCAGTCTCCAAAAAGTGCTCGTGTCTCTGAAAGAGACAACATACCTCAATCTGAACTGTTCA